TGAGATCATGTAATGCCAGGAATATTTATCTGTGTAGTATTTGTTCCATAAAATGACTTAAGCTTTTTTTTCCTTTTTTTTTCTTCAACAGTGTAGTTTTTTTCCCTTCTGTAGTCCAGGGCATGCTGGTCTCTTCTCCCAGGTTATGGGGGATAGAACAAAGGGAAATGGCACCAAGCTGTGCCAAGGGAGGTTCAGGTTAGAGATAAGGAGGAAGCTCTTTACTGAGAGGGTTGTCAGAAGCTGGAACAGGCTGCCCAGGGAGGTGGTAGAGTCACCATCCCTGGATGTGTTTAAGGAGCGGGTAGATGAGGTACTTAGGGATATGGTTTAGTGGGTAGACAGGAAAGGTTGGACATGATGATCTCGGAGGTCTTTTCCAACCGAGCGATTCTGTGATTCTGTGATTCTTTTTTCATTTGGGCGTTCATCACTTCCGAGTTGCTTAGGACACCAGTTAATAAGACATTTATTTTCTGTCACTATAAAACACCACAAGTTTGATTAGTTAAGTGTGATAGTTCTGTACCTACACTTATTTGCTGTCAGTAGCTGTTACTACAAAAATGCACTTCTAAAAGACACTGTAATCTTCATAATTGTAAAAGAAATGTTGTGAGCTCCATGATTGTCTAAGTTTCACAGTGAAGCTAGGTTGACTGATGTGTTTGAAGGCCTGTCTTAGTTGACAAGGTATAGAAGCAAAATTTCTGGATACTCCATTACATACATGAAGTTTTAGATGGTTTATTTGCTGAGTCTAACTGCATAGATTTCTGACATGTAAACCACCTGTTCTGGATTCCTTTTCTTGAAAGCATTTCTTTCTTCAGTCATTGTGACCTACCTAATTCAGAAGACATGAAGTATTTAGAACCAGATTTATTAATGTGTTGTTAGTACTGGGGAGCAGCAGTGACCTGAGGGAAAACTAGAGTTTTCTGTGTTCCTGTCAGGCATTAAAATGCCTTCCCAACAGCCCCTTACAAGAAGGCCATGTTCTCCTGGCTATCTCCTTGCTTCTGGCTGCTTTTGTACTGCTGAGGGCACCTGTGCCAAGGAGCAGCTCCAGCTTTCCAGGACCAGTGCTGCTGACTTGCTCGTGCCCTCTGGGCTCAGGACCAAGTAGAGCAGATTGACTGTGCCTGCACCGTGCCCAAGTCTCCTTTGATTGCCAGATGCCACCCACCAGCTATACAGCACAATATTTCTTTCTTTTTTCCCTGTGGTTTTTTTTTCCCCTAGTTCAAATTTCCTGAAATAATATGAAGGTTTTAACACAGACTTCCAGTACAGTGCTTAATACCCTTAGCATGACATGAAAGAATATAGGCTGCTTACTGGGGAATGTGGCAGGACAAAGCCATTTAAAGGCACAGAATTGACTGGGCTGGACTTGGAGAACCAAGTGGGTGGAAACAATGATGTTATAAATTCACCTGTATAAATGCCCTTCTGAGCTGTTTCTGTGGTTATAAACAGTTTTTGTCTTGGAGAAGACCTCCTGGTTTTCTGCAAAGGAGAGCCTGAGAGCAAAGTGGGAAAACCCAGAGATGAGAACTGAGGAGTGAATTGGGAGGTGACATGATTTAACACTGCAGGTCTGCTTTTAGACTAAAAGTAGCTGTAGCTTTATCTCCTTTCCATGGTCTCTGAAGTAGCTTATGCACAAGTCTGCAAGTGCCAGGAATACTGGACCTGCCTTCTTGTTATCTTGTTCCTGTCACAGTGCTGCTAATCCATTGTAAGGTCATCCAGGATTTGTTGTTTAAATTGAACATAGTAATTTTAAAATTCCAAAGAATATAATAGTTTTGTCAGTTATAATTTCTTTGGTCTCATGTTGACCTGTTAAGTCAGTTGTTTCACCTTCCATGCATTACTTCAGATACTCTGGTCCAAGTAGAGGTATTATGGGAAAAGAAGTTAATTCTATTTGATTTTAGTGGTGTCAAACCAATTTATAGCTGCTGGTAATTTGGTTTTGTGAGAATATGGTCAAGTATGCTGTATATACAGTGGATGTTTTGTGTAATCAGATTAAGATATATTCATAGCACTCTACTGACTAGTTAGAGCTGATTATAAACTAGCTATGTATTTCTGAAAGGTTTGGTAGCTATGAAATACTAAAAAACACAGACCAGTTGCTGTCAGGACCTGAGGGAATCAAAATACCTTAGTAGTCATGACCAGTCTCACCTGGGGCCCCAACCTGCACTCTCTGCCCATGGCCCAGGAGCTCCTTTGGACTTCAGCCCCACTTCTTGCCTGAGCCATGTTGTGGACAGAGTATCTCCAGCCTTGCTTTCTGCTGTGGCTGGGCTTCATGGCTGGAGCCTCAGCCTCTGTTGTCCACTGTGTTCAGCCTTGTCTTCTGCTGTTTCTGACTTGTCTTCCCAGACAGACACTAAACCAGACTTGTTGCCTCATCTTGTCACAGGACAGTTGTCTAAAGCTGTTATGTCACCAGTATTGCCTTACTCGGGTGCTGTGGGACTGCACCATTGCCAGTGAGGGCTGTCACTGCCTGTGCCACGGTGCTGAGGTCACCCTTGGCTCCTGGGCTATGTTCCCTCATGGGACAGCCCAACTCTTGCTGCTTTCTGCCTGTTAGGAAGGAATATTGAAAGCATCCCTGCATCATCACTTCATGCTGCAGTTAGCTAGTCAAACATCCCTGCCCACACTGGAGGAAGAAAGGTCAGATTAGACCTCTGTGGTGGAAATTATTTTGAAGAAGGAACTTCTTTTAAGATTTTTGTCATATTTTGTGTAAAATTTTAGTAGAAAATAAAAAGCCTTGTTTTGGCAGCTTGTCTCTGAATGCAGACTGGACTCGTTGACCTTCCTCCAGCAGGCTGCCAGAGAATTTTGTGTGATTTCTTTTAACAGAAGTGGATGCTCTTTTTATACTATTAGACTTAGCCAATTAAAATCTCCTGAGAAAGGATGTAGGCTGTGCAGAAACGGACAAATACTGCATTACTTCTTCCTAAAGGCTGTAAGTCACAAGGGGAAATTCAAGGTGTGAAACAGTCTGTAGATGAGATGAGATTCTCTAATGAGAATTTGCCTCAGGGTACAGATACTCTTTGTTTCTTTGAAGAAATTAGTGTGATATGAAAAGGGTGCTAGTCTAGAAATGCATCCAGTGTTCAGAACATTTTTTTTCTAAAAAAAAAAAGGAGGGAAAAATAAAGCAAAGAAAAAAAGCCATAGTCTGTGAAGAACTTAGCACTTTTTTTTCTTTTCATCTTTCTTTTTTTTCTTCTTTTCTTTCCCCAGAAGAATGGAGAGAGATTTGAAATAATGGTTAAAAACTTCCTTGTGCTCTGATCTGTAAAGTTATTCCATATCTAAAGCCCCTTGGAAGAAGTCAGGTTTCAGGTTTTTTATTTATCCTGGATTTAGTGAGTAGCTGTCTTTACTTCCGTATTCTCTTCCTCCTTCCCCTCCCATGTTCCAGGATGGTCCAGAGGTGACATTGTTTCTGTGACACAAGGCTTGCTTGGATTTTTCTTTAAAATCAGTGTTTTCTGATAATACAATATAGAAAGGTATTAATATCTCCTTGTAAATATTTTGAAACATAAGCATAATTTTTGCAGAACAAGGAAATAAATGTAAAAAAGTGCAGTTGGAATAAGTATAATGGGGGAATGAGAGCTAGATAGTGATCTTGAGGAATAGGTCTAAAAACTTACAAGGTATGTGTATATGTCTAAGGAAATTTGTAAGCTCCCGTTGACATATTGATAAAGTAGAGTGGTGTTTATCCCTGTAGCCGTTTTATTTGCAGTTTATTTTATCAGGTATATAGAAGTGAGTAGTTCTGTGTATGTGTGTGTATTTTGCAGTTACATTGATGCAAACATATCTCTAACATAAAATCAAGTATCATCTCTTTCTAACCTGTCTTTAAATACAGAATTAGTATGCTACTAGCAGCTGTTGTAAGGGAAAGCCTACTCTGGTGTCTTCCACCTGCCCCCACTACCCCACGCACACATTTCCAAGAATTATTTTGTATTGTTAATAATGGAATTTTGAACGTAGATGTTGGAACTCATAGGGACAGCACTTTCAGTTTTCTACCTCTTAGCTCACTTGCCATTGGGTAACTACTGACTCCAGAACACAAGCAAATATTTCATAAATCAGCATAATAGAAAAGCAGCGCATTCAGATCGACATAGGGACTGAAATCCTCCATGGTTTGGAGACTTCTAAAGTTATGTAATAACAGTGTTTCATTCTTTCTTCATTTCGGTTCCTTTGAGGAACAGAAGCATTAAATGAGAACTAAATGCTAAGGTATTTTTTTGTATGTGTTTTGGTAAATGTACCAGTACAAGCAAAAAGCTGGCTGTGGTAATTACGCTGGTTGGTTTGGTTATTGATATGCTATGTCAGTCGCATCTCCTCTGATATCGAAGTCCTGAAAATGGAACTATCTGGTACAATGATAGCCTGGCTCTGTGTTAGACCTCAATCTTGTAGGTACTAGATTATATTTCTGCACTGGGGATAGGGGGCTTCTTTATGTTTTTAAATGGGAGATGGTGGTGTTTCTGAATTATTAATGCTCTTTAGTCATCAAGACCTATTGCTTTACACTATGATTCTCTTCTAACATAGATCTGAAACTAATTCACCCTTAAGTTTTGAAAAATTCAGTCCTAGTTTAAAGTCTGTCTTTATAATTTTTTTCTTTCGTTTTCTTTTCTTTTTAATACTGCTAAAAATTGCTAGTAGTGATTCAGCTCTAAACTTCACATTGCATAGCTGATCATGATGCTTTTGAAAAGATTTTGTGGTTGACAGCGTCGTGCTATTAAACTCACTTCTCATTCTTCTTTCTTTGGAATTCTTTAATGGACAAGGAGATTTGTTGATGTCTGTGGCATCTATGCAAGATTTTCATATTGATTTCAGAATACTTAAGAACTATGCTCGCAGGTATCATTTTATCTAAATAGAGAACTTCTGTTTTTCAGACCTTACCAGTACGGAAGATTCCGTGCAAAGCCAATGCTCCTTCAGGGTCTTTTTTTGCACGGGACAACACGGCAAATTTCTTATCCTGGTGCAGAGATGTAGGAGTGGATGATACCTGCCTGTTTGAGTCAGAAGGTTTGGGTATGTATTTGTTTATATAGAAGTTAGTAATTTTAAATAATTGTTGTGTTTTGCCTTGAAAGACAGAATAGCTCTCTTAATAGATCCTGACTCCAAATCTGACTCGTGTCCAACTGTGTTAATTCTGCCCCTTATCTGAAGCATGAACAAATAAAGTACACGTCACTTAAAATTCATTTAAGTCTGTTTTAAGAGGAGCTTAAATGAGACAAAAAACTTGCTATGATTTCTTGCACAGATGATTTTTCACCCTACACACGCTTTTTTGGTCACAGAATGCTGTTCCTTAGTTCAGTATGTAAGATGGTGCTTTTCTGTTTCAGGAGAGTAGGATACAAGTGCATGCTCATTTTTGGCTGCAAATATTTAGCTATTCATGCAGAATAGCTCTGGAGACAAGAAAATATGAAATTTTTCTCTGCATCCTGTACTGCATAGGTTTTTTCCGGCTGATTCACTAGTACTTCAGGGTGTTCCATTGAAAGAATAGTACTGCTTAGGAAATCACTGTTCTGATGTATTCTTCATTATTTTAACTTTTCTTTCTTCAAAGTAAAACTTGGGAATCTTACCTTGAGAGTTTGTTTCAGCCAAATATCATGAAATTAAGAGAATCAAATGCCTGTCTGTTATCTGAACTCAGACAAAAGTGTGAAGCAGTTGTGATGACAGACAGCTCAGTTTCTATGGAAGACAAATGATTGTACTGTACTGAATCAAGAGGCTTCTTTGTTTTGTTGCTCAAAAGGTCTTTGACTGCCCTGTTGAAGTTCCTATCTCTGTTGACACTGATCTATTCCCTTTCTTTTACAGTCTTGCTCCTCTAGCATAACTACTTCTGAAGCAATTTTTTTGTTTGTCTGTTCTTTTATCCTGTGAGATTTTAAAATTGAATTAATTTATTTTATATTCCCAGGAGAAAATGCTTGACAGAGAAGAAAGTAGTATCACAAAGGTGACAAATAGTAAGGAGGTTATATGTATTATCTGTCTTGTTAATTGAATCCTCAACACGTAATTTTTATTGGACATGGTAAATCATGTGGAAGATGAACAATAATTGTATTTCCAAAGACTTGAAATGATGGAGAAGTTAGACATTGCCTAGGACAATGAAACTTGCAAACACAAGAAGGAAAGAGACACAGACCTCCAATGTCTGAGATAAACAGAAGAACCTGTGGTTAATCCAACACTTAAATGAATTTAGACTTTGTACTGCTATGGTAAACTCAGCAGATTACCATTATTCCAATAATAGGTTAACTGTGTAAGTGTATTTATAAGGAATTTTCTCATGCATTGTTAAAAAACCGGATCTTGTTTAGAAATGGAATTGGCATAGTTGAAATACCGACATTCCCTGGCTAAGTTAATTTTTACACATATGCAGTCCTTTGCCTGCCACAGTATAACACTGAGTGCAAACACACCTGGAAAATTGATGTCCAAGATGATTTCTTCTCTCGGAAAAGTGGAGTAAAATATGCCCAGATACACAGCGCACTAACTAGATATGGCTGTACTTGATTTGTTTGATTAGTGACTGATTTTTCTTCACTGATTGAAAACTAGGTTCTGTTGTTCTCAGTCTCTAAGTGTTACTTTTTGTAGAATGTGCAGGTTGAAAAGACTTCTGGTGCTGGATATAGGATTAGGACTCGACAATATTTTGACTGTTCTTCTGAACTTGAGAGGAGGATAGTGACTGTGCCATTTCTAAAAATCCCGTACAGATCAAAGCTACTATTTTCCCTTGTGTTGAGCTAGAACTTTTAGAAGTTTTGATTTCATTTGAGTTTTTTTCTAATGCATTAGAAATAACGATGAATCATAACACTTGCCAATCTAAAGCTTTTATGTTCCTCTCTCTTCCACAAATCACTTCTCCACTTCACAGGAAATAAAAATTCAGCAAAAGTAAGTAATATCAAAAGGTTCTATTCAAAGTGGTGAGAAACGTGTGTGAATGACATCTAAGCGTTCACACTGTCTCATGGAAGTCTGCTGTATTTTTTATAATAAATGTGGTGAAATGATGGTTACAGAGGTAACTGAGTTTTGTGTTTTCTTGTGATTTTTTTTTTCCCCCATGCCTAATAAACTGTATTGATGTGTAAATTGCTAGTGATAAAGCAACTATTTTCTCTCTGTATTGATTTGATTTTTGTCCTCCTTTTTTACTGTGTTCTGCCTGCCTTATTGTATGCAAATACTTCATTATTTAATGATATGTACATAGTGATATTTTCTTCATGCCATTGCATCACATAAAACATTCCTGAGGCCTTTTTCTGGAAAATTTATATTCTAAAATTATAAGGGTAATTTTTAGGGTTTATTGCAGTGAAACATTTGATGGATTTATGACACTACCTATGAAAAAAAAATCCTGAGTCTATTTGGAGATCAGTAAAGTTAGATATATACTAGCTTAGAATTATTAATTAATATTACCTCTAGTTACTTAAAAATATGTTCTCATACATTTCTAAAGTCTTCGAAATCATGCAAGTATAAATGCATACCACTGCATCCAACAGTCCTACTTTTTTAGCACTCAGATTGAAGTCATTCGAAGGTATTCTCCTTGAGCTGGAACTGTGTCAAACAGACAGTACAGCAGATAGGTGCAGTCCATGCCTGCGGAACTTGCAGGCGAGTGATGTTACTGGGAATCTTGAGTGTTCCTAGAGGCTTGGTTCTGTGAAATGTTAACATTCTAGAGCTGATCCAGATGAACAGGTGAGTAGACTTACTTACGTCACTTTGTCCTTGTCCATCAGTTGTTTAGTAATTTATTTAATTACTTAAAGTTAAGCATGGGTTCAAATGCTTTCTTGGATTTGGGCTTTCCAGCTGAGCTATAAAAGGAAGCAAGATCAAAGTCCTTCTTCAAAGTAAATAGAAGGAGAAAAAAGTGGTGTTTGTTATGGTGGTAGTTATGATTATGCTTTCTAATCAGTAGAGTTATTTCAAAGATCCTTGAAAGACATCAGTACAGAGCTAAAAAGTTTGAAAACAATTCACTTGTGCTACTAAATTGTGGTTAGTAGTCTAGAATATGATATATTTTGTCTTGCTTATAAGGTTTTAACATAATTTAGAATACAAACAGATTGGAAATACTGTTTTCTATAAAGATTTATAATACAGCCAGAGCTGACTGGCAGCAATCAATATCCTGCCCTTTGGACTTGACTTAATGCAAAGACTTGGCAGGAAAGTCTCAGAGTTAATGCTTTTGCAAAGAAAAGGTGTATGGTGTATCTGTAGTATGAACTGCAGAAAAAAAACCATTAAGATCTGTAACAAATATAGCAAAATAGTATGTAAGGATAATCTTGAGTGCTGCAAAACAGAGGGAGACTCCGCATGTTACCTGCATTCATTGACCAATTTAGCATACTTTTCATAATAGTTATTTTTATAGTTAGTATATTTAAAGAAGAAAGAAGTAGCTTTGTTGATAATAAAAACTATGATCCAAAGTAAAAACTTTCATCATCAAGGCAGATCTTGAGATACACTCTGTTTGATTGGAGCTCTTAGATGTATCAGAGATAAAAATTTGTCCCTTATCTAGGGCTCAGAACACGATGCACGAACTCTTTGTGGTCGAAGAAAAGTAATGCTGTCTACAAATCCTCTGTTCCCATGATATGTATGTTTTATAAGTTCCCCTTTGTAGATTTTAGGGCAGCAGATCCACACAGCTATGGTAATTCAATTTATGGAAGCATTCTAGGTGGAGATATTTGTAATTATGGTGCTCAAGCCTGAAGAGTGTAATACTCGATGAAAACTCTTCTCGCCCAAGTAGTAAGAATGGTAAGATTTTCCATGATTGCTTCAGATTGCTTAAAGCATAAGTTATGAACTCTTTGTCGGTAACGTAGTGTTGTTGGATGATTATAGGATTTGGAACCAACGAATATTCTGCATCTCTTCTCTGATAGAGTCTACCCGGCAAGAAAATGGTTTGCCACCAAGTGTGCCAGCATGCTAATGTGTGTCGTTTGTTTTGGAAGTTGGATCATGCTGTTGTATTAATGTTTTGTGCTTGTATATTCTGTAACTGTGAGTGTCTATACACAGTATGTGACATGGACTTCTTTTGATGCAGCTTACTGATTAGAGTTTAATGGACAGGTTCCCTAAACAAAAGCATCTAGTGTTTTAGTGGAAATAACAGGCTTAAACACAGACACCTCTAATTCCTATTCTAATGTAGTCGTTGTTGAGTTTTTTTTAAAAAAAACACTCAAGTGTTGATTGCTTTAAAATTTTTTAGGTATGGGGCAAATTATTTTTTTTTTAATTACTACTCTAGTTTATCTAATTTCATATTACAAACCAGAAGTATTTTAACCATTCTTTCACAGTGGCACATTTACAGCTTGTAACAGCATGTTAAATTTTACGTGTAGTTGCATCAGAATAAGGCTTTGTCCTGTCTTTCACATTTTACTAAACAACTCATAATATCGTTGAATATGTCTCGTTTTGAGGACTATAGAAGCATCCTGAACACTGTTTTATTACTATTGAATTAGCATCTTAAATTAATGAATTGTAGTAAATTATTAGTGTGTGGATGATCTCTATAATCATTCTAGATTAATTCTTTATTTTCCATAGATATATTGTATTTGAAACCTTGATTGTTTTGAGACTTCCATAAGTGATAGTGCTGAAATGGGGCCAGAGGACTACAACTCCCTGATTTAAGTGTCTCATAGTATAACTCTTTGACACAGAAGCAAGGTTATTTTTAGAATAAGTTGAACAGAGTAAGTGATGTCAAAACAACCTTAAAAAAGAAAGACTACTGTAGAATCAGAAGAAAAACTATTAAAGGAGAAAGTGAAAGACAATAGGAAGAAGGATCAAAGGATCTATCTTTTGAAAAACCTTCCTTAAACATGTGAGAGTTTTGATGGCAACTGGAAGCCTATGATAATAAGCACTAAGCCCCTTCAGAGAATCTCTTAACTTCTGCCGTAGAAGCAGAAATCACATTCACTTTTTCGATTAAGCTATGCCGAAGAAAATGTATGCCTAAAAAGAAAAACTGACTCCACTCCATTTATAAAAATGTTAGGAGCCGAGGCTTGAAGCTTGGCAAGGAGGTGTCAGAAGTTTGTTTGTGTATGGTGGTTAGGCATTCTACTAAATTTTTAAAAAGTTGCAAACAAGCCAAAAAAACCTTTGCACTTCTTACTATGAGCACTCTGGGTTTAAAGATGGTAAGCAGACACGTGGTCTCCATGTGCAAGGTGTGTTCTGTCTTCTCACAGCCCCAGGGGCTGATCAGCAGTGAAAGCAGAGGCTGTTACTCCTCTGCTCTCTCTGCTTCTCCTGGTAGCATCGGGGCACTGGGAAGGGGAGTGGTGAAGGATGCAGAAATATGATGAACAGTAGGTAGGAAAGAAATTAAATACCAGGAAGAACTGGGGTGAGTGGTGAGGAAAGGAAGACCTATAAAAAGAGAAATGGGCAGCAACATGACAGAAGCAGTGTGGAGAAAGAGAAGTTATAAGCGAGAGAGGAGCATGGATAAAAGCTTGCTAGGAGCTGTAAAGGAGGTATTGTTGAAAAAGAGTGACTGGAACTAACTTGAAAAGAGATGAGAGGATAGGAAAGCAGATAGGAAGATTTGAAATTAATGAGATGGAAAGCAAAAGGGTCTGTAACTCTCAGGACACCTAAAATAAGTTGGACTTACATGCACTGTTTCTAAATCTTCACATTTCTTGTCAAGCAAATACCATCAGTGAGATTCTCTGGCAAGGTGAATGTTTCCATTCAGCTTATGCAGTAGATCTGTGTTGTGCATGTGTCTTCTGCATTTACAAATTGCTACTTATAATCACCTATTAAATTGATTCACCTTGCTAATTTTTGATAAGGTAGAACTGGGGAATGATTCTGCAGGAATATTGTTTTCTTCCATATATGAAAGTGTGAAAAATTACAGGAAACTGCATGCAAAAATTGTATCAATGCTGCAAAGTGGAGTACTTGGACTACAATTAAGACTGACTGTACTGCATTAGTTAAACTATTTAATTGTTATGATACACCTGTAAAATTTTCATATGTTCATGGGCTGTTTTTTTTCCCAAAAAGAGCTGTGTTCTCTTTAGAATGGACCTTGCTCTGCCAACATCCCCTGGTATGCTATGGTTCATGAAGTGAAGGAAGCTCTTATTGGAATGTTATTTTATCCTCACATGCCTCATTTGTTGCAAAAATCTGAAGATCTTTAGAGAATGATGCAAGATGCTGAAGGATAGTATTTTGATGATGTTACTGAATGGCATCAGAAGTGACTATGGTTCTATCACATAGCTCCCACATGCAGCAGGATGATTCATATTAGTCTTTGTAATGGGATCACTAGTTGTGCTAGCTTTGCTTTCTTACAAAATGTAGCATTAGGAAGCTCAAAAGTACCCTGGAGATTAGGCAGAATTTAAAAACAGCACCTATATAATTGTGCTTTTTAGTATCTTATACATGGAATTAAGTATCTTATACATGTGTAAGATGAGGATAAAATATTATTTACCTCATAGAAATGTTAGATAAGGCTTTGTTTTTGCTTTTTCTTTGAATTCTTCACATCATACAGTAGCACTGTTGTGGAAGTGAATTGCACTGTGTTGAGTGTAGAATTTAGACAGTGTGCAGTGAATTGCGTGTGTGGCCGTAGATAGAATGAAGATGGCTTTCAAGAATAATTTTTCAGCTTCCAGTATTTACCGTGTCAATCTGCATATAAATTACTACAGTTACAGAAAATGTGTTGCTTAGCAAATGTCTGTTTGCCCAGTAGTTTATCTGGGATTAAGCAACTGGTCAGGTAAAAAAGCTGAGATGGTGCCTATCACTGAAATGCAACTATTAATATGAATTATAATAAGTATTTCAGAAACTGGTAGATGTAGTTCCCACAGGATACAACAGAATACCATGGGTACAGATGTTACATTTCAACCTAAACTTGTAACCAGTCACTTCAGAATGAACTGCCTGTGATCCTCAAATGATACTAGTTATATATAATATATATATGTAAAATTACGTTTATAAAACTGTATGTATATGTAATTTAGTAAGCTATGAACAGCAGTACAGTGAGAATTCAAATGTGAATTGTGAGAACTTCTACAGACTTTCCTTTTTTAGTGCCATATTTACTTTAAATAATAAGTGATTTTGTTGCTGTGCAATGCCTCTGAAATAGTTTTTCGCCATCTCTTCTATTGAATGTCTTGAAGCGCTTAAAAAATGTCAATTAGCTTCTGTAAGTAAATCTAAGAAAGCAAGTGTAAGAAATGTTTCTCTTTCTACTCTTGAGATGGAAAAAAGTGTAAAGGTAGCTTTTTTCCAAAACACAGTTATTGTGGAATAGCACTAGACAAAAAGTCTCTCAAAATAAGTACTCAGAAATCAAGATGTTCAAAATAACATTTGTTTGTCTCTAAAGTTCCTGAATACATATGCTGGTATAGTCCTCAGGAATGCTAACTTTTTCTTGTTAGAAGTGCTGTGTTACTGTCGTCTTATCAGGTGACAGATGTTTGTTTTTGCGGCTGGTTATTGCCTGCACAGCTCTTTATCCTCTAACAATGATTTCACTGTGTCACATTGTTTGGTGTGAAATGCATGAAATTTGTCTAGATTATGTTGAGTCAGATTTGCTAAAGGAATTGGAATTTTGTTTGGGTAGAAGAGCTTTAAGCATTGACAGAAAAACATTTTACCTTTCTTAATCAAATCCTCTTCCAATTCTATTTATGGATCTTTTTGTACGTAATATTACTTGAGCCTCTGTTTTCCTCCTCCCTTCCAAAAGACAATCAGATGTGTATGTGTGAATTGCAATTAAGAAATACTGAACCTGCCTTGACTATTCCAAAATTGATTTATTCCATTTATATTTAGGTTAATGCCTTATTTCTAAAAATAAAAGGTTATTCTGGGACAGTCCCAACTGGTTTACAATCAAAGCAGCAGAATACATTTCTAGAGTCATGAATGTAACACTTTAAAAAAACCTGATTACTAGTGAAGGTAAACATATCATAAAATTACTGTTTTGTGGCAATGAAGAATATTGAGCTGAAAGTCCAAGTCTGTAGCTTTTACATTCTTAATAGCAGATGACTGACGGATAAAAGTAATTCTTCTACCACAGTACCATTTTAGTTTTCATAGTCTGCAGTTTCACTTATGGAAATATGTTTGGATGAGATTACAGGGGAAGAATGCATACATCTCAAAGTGCTACATATACATTAGTAAAAGATATTGGGATGAGCATTCAACTCACGCAATTTATCATACATTTATTCAGGTCAGTAGAGCTGAAAGTTTCAGTTTCAGAAGCTGAAGATCTGCCCTAGAGCCTTATTTATTTAGAGATGTTTAAGTCTGGATTCCTTTTCTGGGTCTCATACATATGGTATAGGACAAAGTAATGACTTTCAGAGCTTTAACTAGACATTGAAATATCTTTTTCAGGTATGGTATTTTTTTCTTCATGCATTTGAGTTAGGTGAGTGTTTAGATAACCAAAATGTTTATACAGCAGATGTCTTGACCTTAACTCAAAAGCAAATTAATTTTGTTGCTGTTTCTTTTTCTCCAATTTATATAAATATTCACACAATTCTTTTTTTGTGTCAGTTCAATCTGAATGATAAGATAATAGTCTTTTGACTATTGTGGAAACTTATAAAACTTGAATTTTATCTACAACAAGATGGTTTTACTACAATAGGTATTTCTGAAGAGAGGATGATGATGTACTCATAATTCCATTTTTTGTTCTTTATTTTTTCTTTCTTCTTTTTGGACTTTTGGGGATTTGATTACGCAAACAGCCACAGGTCTTTCCTCATTTACTGATTATGGATTTTGCTTATATATTTTGCTGAACTTCTCTACAAAACATTACCTATCTCTATTGTGGGGGGGGGAAAGAATTATCTTAGATTGTGCTGGTATTTCTTAATGAGGAGTTCATGCCGTGCTAGAGCTGCTTCTGAAGCTTAAAAACTACAGGTCTTGTGTGAAATCAAGGCATGAAAACTTGCATATATGTGTGTATATATACAGAAGAAAAAAAATTTATTTGTTTGGGTTTTTTCCATAATGAATTGAATTCCCAAAGTACTCTAGTTTCATACTTGCTTTAAGAGTAGATATATAAAAAAATCAGTACAAAATTTATAATGAGATATATCTTTGTTAGTGCAGTTTTGTTATTCTTGTGATTTAAATAGGCTAAGAAAAATAGTGATCTAAAGGATAGGAATTTTCTTAGTTTGTAGAAAGAAAACTATCACTTTAATGTTATTAATTTATTTTTGACATTGTGCTTATTTTAGTGTCTTGTCAGTTTTCTTGATGATTTTTAAATAGCCCAAATAATTACTTAGTGATTTAGACTTAGAATGGTATTTTTAATAGAAGTAGAAGATAATTAAATGGGAACTTCCTAAATCATCTGCACTCTGAGAACCACTCCTCAGTCCCATCCTTTTTATTCCAGTAAAACTCCACTGCAAGCCAAATAAAACCACATTTTATCTGAGTCAAGAATTACAGATGTTGACGATTAGGTTCCATTCATCACTACGATCTTTAAAATAGCTTTTATTTATAAATGTCTTCCATCTTCATTTTGCTTTTACAGTTCTCCACAAGCAGCCAAGAGAAGTGTGCCTTTGTTTGCTGGAACTTGGAAGGATTGCAGCAAGGTAGGTGCAAATATTTAAAGAATGAGAAAACATTCACATTCTTGACAGCAGTGGCTATTGAGAGGCTGACTAAATCAGCACATCTCAAGCTAACTTTTTATGCTCATTAGTTTCAAGGAGAATGTTTGTCTTAATGTCACTCAAGAATATCTTGTGGGCAATTGTTAACAAATGTTATGAAATCTCTGTACCATCTCCTCTATTAAGGCAGTTTTTGGCTATCCTTGGAAAGAGTTGAGAATTTTTTCCTAGATAAAACTTTGAGCTTTTTTTCCTTCTAACAATCAGATATCTCTATAAAGAACTGAGATTTCATTAACTGTAATAATAATAAATTGGTCTTCAGATGACCTAAACCTGACCTAAGCAACACTGACTCTTATCTTATTTATTTAAATAAACTTAATGCTGATTTTCACCAACAGACGCAAGACAAGAATTGAGTTAACAGTCTGTGTTCTCTCTGTCAGATTAGTCTAGCTAGCCTGGACCCTCAGTACATTGTAACATCATCTGTGATGTCAAGACAACAGTGACTTTTGCTAGATAATAAAAATGACAGTAATTAGAATGCCATTTTTCCCTTTTTTGCTGATGTGTATTTAACCAGCATAATGTATAAGATTTGCTATGAAATATATGAGCAGCAGTGCTACTGCCCAGTCTTGCATGTAAGTTGCAGTTGCATTCATCCATGTCTGTCAAACTGGAGTGTCTTGCTATTCAAATAGTTTAATTAATTTCAGGAGAATTCATTGTAATTACAGTCCAATGCAAAGGAGACCCCTGTTTATTTCTAGCTTAAGAACCAGTATTTTCATGTTAAAATTGCGTAATGGATATTTGTATTTTGTGAAAGTAACTCACCTGGGGGAAGCTACTTAACTAAACTTGTCTCTTGGTCAAGTTTCAGAAAAGCCCTTGTCATCAAGCATAAGGATAGTGTGGGTCAGAAAAAGATTTCCAATTTGCAGGAATTTTCTTCTCTCTCTAAAACTTGAATTCAGTCCAACATGGCCAAGAAAAATTTTTAAATTTAATTTTCCTGAACAAGAATGTCTTCTGATCTGCAAGTGCTCAATGAAATTGTTTTTAATGAATCTTAATTTACCTGAGCAAACAAACTGCTTTCAAGAGAGACTGAATGAACATTTTCTCTTCCTTTTCTGTTTTAGAAGCTGAAAGATATGTTCAAAGTAGCTTATTTATCACAAGGAGCTAGCTCTCAGAACACTGTGCCCAGCTAGATTACTGTTAGTCTTCAGGGTCTGTAACTCCCATAAGTCAACCTTGATCTTTCATCTTCATTAAATAGACTTGGGATTGAGGTGCAAGTGAGCAG